GTGGCTTCTTCAGCGGCCCCCTCGGTAGCCTCTTCGGCCCCCTCGCCGACAGTATCCTCGGCGGCCTCCTTGGTAATCTCCTCGGCGGCTGACACTTCTGCGGACGCTGTCTCGGCAGCAGTTGCCCCCTCCACCACCACTTCCTCAGCGGCCGCCTCCTGAATCACCATCTCGGCCACTGCTTCCTCGACCGGTACCTCGGCCGTGGCTTCTTCCTCGACCACCACTTCCTCCTAAGAAAAAAAAAAAACTGAATTACCAAAATGTATAAAGAAGGGAGGGGGTGACCTGGAAAAGGAGGGAGGGAGTCAAGAAATACTTACTACCACGGGGGGGGCTTCGCTCACAACCACGGGAGGGACCTCCTCCTCACCTTCACCCTCCGCGGAAATAATGAGGGCCCTTTTCTTCGGCCGCACTGGCGCCGCCATCTCAACCGCAATACTCCCGGCCGTCGTCTCGGCCAGAGCAGCATCAGCACTTGGGGCCTCTCGACCGCTCTTGCGACCCGGGGCTACGTATACAAAGGAAAGAGAGAGTGAGATAAATAAGGACGGAGGTGGCTCAGGGAGGCCGAGGAAAATGAAACGGATAAAGAGAAAGAGGGGGGAGGATACTTACCAGCGGCGACACTCGGCCGAGCAGGAGGAGAGGACGGCACGGTCCTGTGCGCTAGCGTCTTTCGCACCCCCACTGCAGGCGTCGCCCTGGGGACCTGGGCCGCGGTTGAAGATGGGGCCACGGTAGAGGCCACAACCGGTGCTCCAGTCACGGGAGGGGCCACCGCCTTGGGCACAATCGCGGCCGGGGTACTCGGTCGATGAGGCCCGGTCGATACCTTCTTCACTTCACTGCCCTTGGGGGGGAGAGGGTCCCAATCGGCATTCTTCAGAGCCGCCCTCGCGGCTTCTTCAACAGGCCGAATAAATCTGGCCGAGATGCACTCCTCGTACCAGACCCTTCCATCCTCGTCATACGCATTACGACGCGACCAGGGCGTCAGAGTCAGGAAAGTCATCCCCTTTTGAAGCTGGAAGGAGATGCCAGCTATGCCATGCTGCTGGGTGACGTCGGCCCTCCTGGACGAGAGCCGGTTCGTGGACAAAGGGGGAAGCGGGGTCGTCTGGATCAGGCCGAATTGCCGCGCCACGAAGTTCGGCAGGTAAACCTCAGCCCCGGCTTTGGACAGGCCGCAGTGGAGATC